GGTTCATTGTGAAATAGGTTAACCACATTGAAGATTTCTCCAGGATCCAACAGAGTAGTTCGAAAAGGGCAAACCCTAGTGGTTTAATTAACTAATGGTAAAAATCGTATAGCTCTGTAACAACTATTAGGTTGTCCGGAAATTAATGCCGGTTTCAATGTCTCATACTTTATTTGATATTTTTCCGAGAAATTTCCATACGATTGCTGTACTATTGCATATCGTTGGAAAGCCCATTTCATTCTCTTTCTTGCACGGCCATTGTATTTTGATGGGACTCGGGCCTCACTTTTTTTAAAGGTTTGAAGTGAAGGCGTCAAAGTAGTGGTTTGAGCAGGTTCACTTCTATGAGTTGAAATTTGGAGAGGGTGCTGTGCGGACAGCTCGGAATAGGATTGCTGTGTGGGGCTAAGGATGTTGCAATAAAAGCACACTGCTTCGATGGCTCCGAAGCTTTCAAGTTAGGGAAATCTAGATTCGAAGTGAGGGGGGTTACGGACGACATTCTCCTCTTGACGGCGGCCTTCTGAAGACCCGGCAGAAGAAGATTTCCAAACAAGTGTACGGCAGCCAGCAGCATAACCTTGAGCAAGCATACTGAAATTTTCGGAGCGCCTGAAGGTACTTGGGAAGGTAAGAAAGCTGGACAAGTGGGTACCGCATGAACTGACTGAGCAGCAGCAAAGTCACCTTGCAGGGATCTTGGCACAACTTTTTTTACTCAACAAAAATGTCCGACTCTGGAACTTTTCGTCATCCTCGACGGAAATAGGACCCTTCGCTATAGAATAGAGCAATTTTCCAAAAATCTAAACAACTACGAACATCAAAAACTTTTTCCAAAGTAGAATTTCTACAAGGTGAGGACCATGCTGATGGTTTCGTGGCCTTCCGGAGTAATGATGCATCGCAGCTTTCTGAACCCAGGTGATTTTGGTAGAGCATCAATGTCTGTCCATAACATCGATATAATGCTCCGTAAAGAGCAAGGCCTCTAACCAGAAGAAGGAAAAGAACTGTTCTCCATGTTGACGCCCAGCCACATGTCGCACAAAGGTCTTCGTAAGAAAGGGATGCTTCTTACAGTGCATTCGCAGGATCTCACCCTCACCAACCTCCTGTTTTCCGGCAATCTCGACAGCTTCTTGGGGAGAAAAAGATTTGAAAACCGAGACATGATGGAAAAGACCTTGGCCGATATTTGAGCTTCTGTTGTTCCTGTATCTCAAGTTCGTTAGATAAGCCAGTACACTTCCTGTTAAGAAAAATGAGTAGTTTCCAACACTCATTCAACACAACAACAACAACAGTTTTGCATTACTGAAAATGTT